TTTAAAAGGAAAGAACGGTTGAATAGTTTTTCAACTTTATCTACAAAAACCACGCATAACATTGCACTAAATATAATGTAAATGCGGTCTATTGACCGAACCGTTACTTGTTTTTCACGCCATCGTTACTGTTGCAGTACAGCATTAATGTATTGCACTTGCAGCATTCATGCGCATATTTCTCATTTATAGCATAAAGCATTCTGCCGCCGTGGTAAATTTCCCACATTGGGAATTAATTTGTACTGTTGATTGAATGGCATTTTGCATCATTGGAATTATCATTAATGAAATGCATTGTCATTTAAGTCATGCAATTTAGAACACTGAAAACCCAGCCGAGCATAGACTTATTTTTTTTACTATCATAATTGTAAAGCTTTTGAAGGAGCTGCAGTAGTTAGCAGTGTACACGAGAGGCAAGTTCAAGGTCGCACCACTACTCGCTTTTATAACAAAGACAACTGGTCAACCGACCTACCTAAGCAATGCCATCCATCCATATGTACCATCTCGAAGCCTATACTAATCTGGTATGGACCTGCGGGGTATAAAAGCCACTCAGCGTAGGACAGTAGAAGGAAGACCTTCATCTGCAGCCCCTAGTCAGTCTGGAACAGTTCCTACCAGCTAAAGTCCGCTCAACCACGGCAATCGGTGCTTTGAAGGCCGGACTAAAAACATAAATTTGATCTTCTGTGTCGTTTAATTTAGGTTATTGTCTTTGTGCCAACGGTACTTACGTCTCAGCTTTTTGATGAATATGGTGCTCTACACATATTGGATTGATCGATTCATCCTAATCTACCATTTCTGGATTTTCAGCTCGGACGGGGTCGAAATGGTAAAATAACACAGTGTTTACCGAAAGAAAACGCATACTGACGCCTATCTGAATGCAGAGTCACACCATCACCCTGCACAGAAATCTGCTCTTATCAAGACGCTCATTCATCGAGCTAAGAAAGTGTAAAATGGTGACAGTCTGAGAAGTGAAATTCAACATGTTAAAGAAGAGCTGCGAATAAATGGTTACAATGATGCACAAATCAACAGGGCATTGAATGGCAAAACCAAATCAAATAACAAGAGCATTGAAACTGCAAGTAATTTCAAAATACCGTACATTGCGAGAGTAACTGATAAACTAGCCAGATGTTTGGAAAAACAAAACATCCGAGTCAGATTTGGCACGGTACATAAAATATAGAAATTAATACCTGGTACAAAAGATGTATTACCGAAGCTATCAACAGAATTTAACTGCACATGTGGTAAATGTTATTTTGGGCAAACAGGACGAATTATCAGCACGAGACATCAGAGAAATATTAAATTCTCCCAGATACAACTGTCAGCAGTAGCAGAACACGCGTGCCAACAAGGACACTCCAATGATCTTGATAATGTTGAAGTTCTGTGCAAAACTAGCTACTCCTGGCCAAGACTAATTATAGAATCTATCGAAATTGAAAAAAAATAACTGTAACCGTTCGGATAGCTACCGCCTGAGTGCTGCATGTAAGCGAATCATCAAAAAAACACACCGGTGTGCTGTGCTAGTGACGAATGGGCACGTTCTGTTTACGTGACAACCCTTACTAGTTGGCTGTGTCGGGTGGTGGCGGGTTTTAACGACACATTTATATATTTGCGCGATCTAACCCAAAAAAACCTCTATTACTACATTCTGCCAAAAACATAATTTCCCGGAACTATAGATGTTTTCACATCAACATATAGAAATCCATTCCATTTTGCATATTACGTTACCCAATTTCACATACATATTTGAGAAAATTATTCTACATAGCAATACAGCAACCTCAAGCCAAGCTGTGAACTGCCAACACGCAATGTACATATGTGAAGCACAATGATCCAAACATTAAATTACATTACCTGTTTGAGTCATTATCATCATCATCAGCCATGATCAAACCCCAAGCCCCCACCACCTCTTACAATGTTATATTCCACACACTGATTCCTATTTTGAATCCCATTTCCCATTTTCATGCAAAAACCCCCAGGATTTGTTCGTGAAAACAATGTTAACCACTTGAGAATACTCGTTGTCTACGTATGAAAGGGTCGCTAACAATACACTATTTTTGTTCAAAATACAAGCACACCCATCGACAGGATGCGGAAATATGACAAGTGGAAGGAACATCCTCACGCTGTACATCCTTGATGAACAAAAAACATAAAGACAAAGATCTCCCATCTCGCCTCAACATTTTTGGGGCAAGTGCTGTTAGCGAGCACTTGTGAGGGCGAGCACGGTACACGAGGGATGGGTTGCCGGCACCACCCCCGGCCGCATTTGACCTCTAGTAGCGATGTTTATACATCGCACCATGTACTCATTTGTGGCTGAGTCGACCTGGGGGAGGCCCGTGACCAGCTCAGATAATTAATAATCGGCACTGGTCTTGGCCATGAGCAGGAATCCCTGGTTTCGTAGCGCAGCGCGCTAACCACTGCATCACCGCCCCCTTAGTGTAACAAAAAGTACACGCAGGGATAAACAATGCATGAAACAAAGTTTCAATGCAATGACATTTCCAGATCATCTGCTCATTCGCTTCTGCTTACAAACCCAATTTGAGAGTGGTGCATAAAAATCGCCTATTACATGTATATATTCATTTTAGAGGCAGTGCGATTGATGTGCGATTGATGTGTTGAGTTCAAGAATCACATTTGTAGCAAATTGAGTGTTCAGATAGAGACATGGATGAGCAGTTCTAAATGTACACACTTTTGTAATGAGTACATAAACGTATTTTTCTCTCCAAATATTACTTTGATACGTAATTAATAGTTATCATCATCATCGGCATCACCAACAGCAGGAAGACGCATCATTATCATCATCCCTTGCAGATTAGCCTTTGAATTTGTAAGTTCAGCAAGCACTGGTGTCAATTTGTGATTGTACTTATTTGTTTTTTTTTTTACCAAACGTGGCCACATGTTGGCTTTTTGATACAATGGCAACGGATTTAGTACAGTACCCAAGGTACAATTTAACAACAATTAACATCGGCTTTTACGATGTTATTGCAATCACAGTAAGCACGCTAATTAGAAAACGGAGACTGCGTAGTTTTGTTAAACAATATTATTGCTGCATTCATGACTTGACACTCATTGTTATATAATGCACGAAAACTCCATTAATTGCAGCTGCAGTATGAAGAACAATAAAGAGCCAAAAAACACCAAACTGTTTATGTATTCACGCTTTCTTGCCTGTTGGCATAGCATAGCTGTTGAGTATTTGTGCAAAAATGTGTAGGCTGCATTGAACTTCTTTCGCATCGTGCATAGCCAACCGTGCGAATTGTGGATGTTTCTCTGGAAAGCTGCATATTTGGTGGACAAGGTGGACTCCTTGGAAAGAGATCCACATGATTGTCAGATTTTTTCGGTGGAGATTGTACTGAATTATTATCACATTTTAACTGCAGGGAAACAAGATAAAGGTGAAGCCCTTACCACCCGTCTGTTGTTCCTCACGCCTCTTGAGTCCTTTCGTCTGTACGAGAATGAGCGAATATTGTGCACATATACATGTTTAAATTATTTAAAATAATGATTAATATAATACAACAGAACTTCAAAAAATCTGTCCTCCAATCATCCACCAATCCTGAATCTTCGCCATCCCTGCCATTCGTGCACGGCAACACTCATAATCCGTGGGTGGCGAATATTCTAGAATCCACATTTTTTGCGGATTATTGGAGTGATTTGTCACATGACGCACTACTCCTATAATGGGCGAAATGTTCGGGAGTGATTGGTGCCACGGAGGGTAAAAACTCCAAAAATCCACGAAAATTAGCACAGTTTCGGCACAGATTTCTGGAGTAATATCACCGTGTACCACAGATTACAGACTCAAAGACACGCTGCCCCACATTTCCGTGGATTTTTTTTAGGGTTTTGCTATTATAATAATATACAGCCAATTGTCAATCATGAGCTCTGTGAAGGCTTCCTCATGCCATTGGTTATTAGCGTTGTTTGACTCACCACGATGATCATTGAGGAATGGTGAATTGCATTGTGGAGAACCAGGACCAGGAGTCGAACCTGCACCTTCCGCCCCACAACTTCGCCACTGATCCACCATAGTCATTGTGCTCATAGGTTCATGATGTTTGTGATTTTATAAATGGATACATATATTCATAAAAACAGTTATTAATGAAAGGTTATTGTTAACAAACATATGTAATATATCTATTAATTTCTCATCATGTGTTGAGAACCCAAGAGTTGCAGATGATTTGCTTTAATTTGAACCTCGTTCACACTAAATTCTTCGAAATAACCCAATAAAAACGAATACTCACCCACAAGTGACTATTAAAAAAATATATACAATAGTGCGGAAGATTAGGCAAAATACACTCTCAATGGGCTCTCTCGAACTCGCTCTGATGGAGGAGGCCTTTCCACCAGCAGTAGCGTGAGCAAGCTCTTGCAAGGCTGGACCGAAACGTGAACATGAACGTTTTTGAAAATGACTAAATGCATGAGAAACACCGTTTTCATAAAATATAAAAGTGAGAAATGCATTGAGATGGCATATATTTAGACAGCAGTTAAATTGCAGCTGCACAGCGGGCCCAAACGTGTTAAAAACGTTGAACAAAGTCAACAAAAATCTGTTTAAGTTGCCCTGTCCTCGTCTGAAAAATGTTCAGCATCGGGAGCCATTTAAATGTTTAACGGTTACACAAAGGAGGGTTATTAGACCTTTTTGCCATTTTAAATTACAATGCATTTGATTGCATTATTACACATGAAATAGTGTAATAAATGAATTATATCTAATGTAAAACTGGCTCTCGGCAGACCCATTGCCATGCAGATTGTGAACCAAATGCACCACATCTATCAAACCTCCAAATCATTCAACAGCCACATATGACAATCTGTGCTACAAAGCGTAGCATAAAATATGAACACATTGCACGTCATTTCTCAAGTAAAATGCATTTGTTTATTTTGTTTCATACATATTAAGTTTAAAACCTTACACGGAGTTTGATCACTTTGGAAATAGGAGTCATCATCGGCCATTATCAATTGTCACGGAGCGCATACTGGGAACAATATCTGGTCAATACCCATGAATTACTCACGGGTAATAGGGTGGGAATTCGCTGTTCTTATTCGTGAAAAGTGTATGAAAAGGAAGGGCGTTTCATTAGCTACTGAAATGTGTTGCGTAACATTCATCCAATATTTTAATCTCACAGCTGGAATTTAGCCAAGTATTTTTTTTGTGTGTGATATTAATGTGACGGATACAGTCTATATATATTGCAGTCGTTGATGACTGGGCCGAGACAATCAACTCACTCCACTTGAGTGCCTACTTTATTCACAGGTGAGTGCCTGGGTTGGAAGCCAGGATCTCAGTGGTGCTGGCTCGGGCCTCTGCCCTCTGAGTCACCTAGCCACATCCTCCTCAAACAATGTACTTATTTGAGAATGCAGAACACAGTGAAATGCACACTGGTAACGACCAACATCAATTGCACGAACTTTTTTAAATAAAGTGTAATGCTAGGAAATATTATCAATGTAATTGGATATTTAAAGTCAAACTAAACCCCAATGTAAAGCAAGCATATAAGCCACTATATTTTTTACCACTTTCATTACATTCGCTCATATCTCAAATTGCTAAAACAATGTCTTTGTCTAAACCACCATTACCGCATTGAGGTTTCAGGCCATTCGATACGAATACAAATCAAGACTTTCTAGTTTTTCAATTATTTTAATGTAGATCAACAATATCTGCCCTAAGGTTGAGTAAAACCAATGTATAATTTCACCGTAAAAAAATGCAGAAAAATAACTGCGTAAGGGGCTTGCCAATTCACTCATGGGGCATTATCCATCAGTTTAAGGGCCATCTAAATACACTTTCCCAGTAAAGTTGATTTACAAAAAGCAGTCCTTGGGCCAGTTTGAATTCAGTGACGAGTTGTCAGCAACATTTAGCTCATGAAGCCCTTTCTTACTATAGCAGATGATACAAATGCACTTATGTCATTTTTAAATGAAACATCATTACTTATTTATCCAGGAAAGCCGCACCGAGGCTTATGAGTCTTTTTTTCCTGAGGTTCTTGCATTAGGTTTCTATTTAAATACGTTTTGAGCCAATGTATGAGTGTTGTATACGTGGGAAGAGACTGCACCATCCGGAATTTAAAAAAAAACATGCATGCGAGGGATCAACACCATCTCTGTACAGATGGAAACGGATGGACATTAGTTCGTTTTCTCTATTGCCTTCTCATGGCGAGCCAGGTTATGGCACCTTGATGCTGATGCCCATAGTAAAGGAGTTTCGCAATGTTTGTGTAATTTGCCAACCCCCCCGTCGCTGCCTCCACAGTGCTGGATTACAGGCGCACACAGCCACCATCGCCTAATAGGTTACAAATAAGCCTCAGCGGTTTGTGAAACGTTTTATAAATATAAAAAAAAATGTTTAAATACAACTAATTGCCCCTGTAGATGTGGTAATTATGTTGTAAGGCAAAACTGAAGCGACGCAAAACTAAACATTGTGTAAGACTTGTTTTAAACCCTTAAAAATAAACTAAACACACGTTACTCGTCTAAAATGATTTCATCAGCAATGTGATTGAATTTCACTCTAAAGCACATACAGCACCAAAAATGTGCAGGAAATTAAAAGGACGACACACATTTGCTGTATATGTGTCCTTCTCTATTCATCCCGAAATTTTATTTGGGCTCAAAAGCATTGAATTTTAACCAAAGTGACAAGTCGCCTCGATTGTCTCTGACCGATAGATGACAGCTGCAAGCCCAACTTCAGTAAAGACAAATCACGCCGCTTCTTCTGATGGAGCCTGATCCACCTTTCCAACCGTGCATTTGTGTTCATTCATATTCAACAAATCCCAAACAATTCCACAGATCAATGAGAAAGCATTCCCTTTATTATCACAAGTTGTTAGACTACTAAACTGCTATATTCTTGGTTCTTTCGGTAAAGTCACGTAGAAGGGAAAAAATAAAATAATACAAATATAAATCAATATTATTGTTTTGTTATTTTAATGTTTTATATTATTATTATTTTATTGTTCCCCTTCTACGTGACTTTACCGAAATAACCAAGAATATGAATTCCTGCAGTCACGAAAGCTTTAAATAAAAATTTACTAAACTGCTGTGTTTTAAATTGTGGTTTTTTTCTCCCATAATTTTTATTTGTACTTTATTCGTCACCGCTTTAAAACATAAATACGATTTTTCATGATTTAAACAGCACGTTTATTAATAATAAATTTAAAGACTGGTTAAAAATAAAAGCAGATTGTTTCCAATAAACACAATCTGGTGTGTTAATTTTAATCAGCACCGAAAAATAGTAAAATTTGGTTCACAGCAAAGGATTACAAAAATGTTCCCCCCCCCTCATTTCAATTGTCAGTCTCCAGCGATCAATACAACTATCATCACCTTCTCTAGATTGTCCCACCATTTGCTAAAAATCAAACAGTCCTCACGATACAAGTACTACATTACATTAAATAAATTACACACGTGTGAAAATAAGTATACCTATAATTATATTTAATTGTTGTGTTATAACAGGAAAGATATTTCAGACGGTTCTCAACAAAAGTTTGTTCCAATGAAAAAAAACACACCCGTCTATTTGCTAACATATTTACCCCAAATATCAATATAAGGCATGCAGTATAAAATATGATAATACCGTGGACTTTTCCAAGCATCCCGATATTAGGCTGGTGAAATTGTTTTCGACATCACCAATCGAATCGCCCCTTTTAGTGACGTGGCATTTGTAGCGTATTTGCATATGGAAGTGATGTGTGGCGTATTAAAGTAATAATTCCACTAAGATCAAGTATTTTCAAGGTAAAATGAATCGGACGTAAAACTTAATGAAGTGTGGGTGTGCCAATTAAATATTTAGAAACTGCTCAGTAGTGTAAAGAGTGGTCGTCGAACATTAAACGTTGGTCGGTCTCAATACAAAACAATAGCAAGAAGGAAAAGGCCAGCGGCGTGGGTGAACTTGTTGACAACGAGAGGCACAGCAGAGCCAACGGTGGCCGTCTCAGATGCGTACACGATCCTCGAGTTGAGTTTTTGCACCGGGCGAAAATTATTCACCATGAGTATCTGCTGTGGGTCTTCTTTCGTGGAGAAAAACACAGAGGAGAACTTCTTAATCTGTACGAAGCACAAAACAGTCGCGTATGAACAAAACATACATGAATGATCAATGTCTGGAACACATACTTAGCATGTAACGATTCAGCGGTTAATAAATAAAAATGTATTTTTACACGAATGACACCCATTGAGTTGTGCATGTGAGAATCCATTACAGAAAATGTTCGAAGTTATGCAAATTATATGCTGATGTGATATGGATAATAGCATGGACACAGTCACAGAAATTAGAGTAATAAAATGTTAAACAATATAAAACGGGATGATATAAATGATAAACGAATAGATTCTTCAAATCACGTTGCAACTCCAAAATCACGTTGCAACTCCAAAATAGCGTTGGGTGGGGGGACAATTGTCACGTGCCTGTGTGCACATCATGATTTTAGAGAGGAATGTCATCATTGTCAGCAATGCAGTTCACGGGAGAGGTATTATATATATACCAGTATATGTACATAGATTATGTAAATTTATTCAAAAATTTAGAGCCCTCTGACAGTCCACTGTTGGATTAAGTGCCCCCTGCACCATGGGCTGCCAAGGTGGTTGTTTCACTATACGTCACCACTTTTGTCAGTGCAAGTTGGTCGAGATCCAGGACTGGTTCAAATATCACTCGCCACCGACTTTAGCCACAGCCAGGAATCGAATGCAGATCAGCGGCCTCACGGCGCAGTCCACTTACTACCCCTCTCCACCCCACGTAATTGTACGTATAAAAATCTAAATAATAATGTGGAAAAAAGGCATTTTCAAACCTGATTTTCATCCATGATAATGGGCTCTTCGAATACTGTCCAAGTAACCACTTCCCCGCAGCCAGGAGTGGTGAGCGATCCAGAATACCGGTAATACTTACTCATGTTCACGTACGACGGAAGCAAATTGTCCAAATTAAACGTGGACGAAAAATTTAGCTTCTGGCCTGCAGAAATAAAATAGGCATAAACGCAAAGGAGAACACATTAACAGCCAACCCTGCCGACAGTGAAACTTTAAAATACTTCGGGGATTATTTGTGATTTACCAGTAACATTATTATTAATACATACACGGTACTAATTATACTATTGCCACATACAACGTACATTCATATATACAGTTCGTGTCGTGAACAGCCATTATCTATCCACTGCCGGATGAAGGCTTCACCAGGTCGTGAAGGGGGAGCCCCACGACTGGTCGAGTTATCACTCACCACTGAGGTCGAGTTATCACTCACCACTGATGTTGGCCCTGCTGATAATTAAATTTAGGTGCACGATTCAGTGTCCCACTGCTGCTTAATTTGACCTACGCCCCCCTACCCATCATCATTACGTATTATGAGTACTATAATATATTCTGGAGCGGACATCTCTGTAAACTACATACCTTGGTTTGCCACACTGGGTAGAGCATTGATGATGGTGTTATAATTGTTGTTTGTTGGTCCGACCTTTAAAAAAGGAAGATAATTTTAAGATGAAAGCACTGAAAAAAAGAAACAATCACAAATATGCTGCTCTTTGAAGTTGTTTTCAACGATGTCAACCACGTCTATACTTCGATTTAAAGCTTTCGTGACTGCAATGATTCAGGCGCTGTCCTACCAGACAGTCTCGCTCCCTTCACCTGATGAAGGCCGCTTGTGTTGTGGCCGAAACGTCGTGAGAATATTATTGTGTTATTTTATTTTATCAATTTATTATTTTATTCTCATTCTACGTGACTTTACCGAAAGAACCAAAGAAGACACGTCTATACTCTTTGGTTCTATTGGGTAAAGTCACGTAGGTGAAAATAAAATAACAAAAAATCACGACGTTTCGGCCACAACACAAGCGGCCTTCATCAGGTGAAGGGACGAGACTGTCTGGAGGACAGCGCTGGAGTGGAAGAAGCTACGTCTTTTGTGCATGTCGCTCTTTTGCCAACTCTAGAAATGTGCATGGCGAGGACAATCTGTTTTATAATGTACGCAATAATGGTTAGAGCCACAAGTTTTTCAAAAAGTGTCCACATGCACCATTCATGGCCAGAATCGTTTGCATTACCTATTATAATCACCCAGAAATGTCTGTCCGTCCCGCGCGTGACGTCACTCCCCATGAGGCCCACCCCCCACGTGACGTCACTCCACATGAGGCCCACCCTCCTAATTAATATTCATGAGTGGGTGGATTTTTACACTAATGCAGAGGAAGGTCGATCTGAATTTAATTAGTTCCATTTAGATTAATAATTTATTACGCAAAGTCGCTTCAGATATGACTTTTCTTTGCAGAAAGTGACGGTAAAAAAATTAATCTACGTAGCACAGTGCTACATCCGTGCGTGACGTCACTGCAAAAGAGCCTCCCCCCTTCATTAATATTCATGCCCGCGTGGCAATTTACACTAACGCACAAGAAGGTCGCGCACTCCACATGCCGCATCCCTCCCGTCATTAATAATCATGAGCGGGTGACGTCACTCCACATGCCGCACCCCTCCATAATAACCAATAGCGGGTGACGTCACTCCACATGGGGCAACCCCTCCTCCCCCCCTCATTAATAATCATGAGCTGAACAATTTTTCTATTGAATATTTCAGATTTACTGCAATATACACCCGTCCTTGGACAGGCAAAATAGCTATTGGTTATATGATATTGATATTCAAAGTAAAAGAAACATACAATGGGCTTCACTTATGGAATACTAATGCATCTCCGTGCATTATATAACGACCGGAAACTATTTCAGTACTTTTAATGAACAGGTGGAGTAAAAAAAAACAGTCTTGAATTCAAGGCAAGGAGAACAGTGTTAAGTCCAGCCAAGATCATTTAAACTACTAAACTAATACAAATTTTATGAGACCTCCTTTGCCAGTAACAAGATATAGTAATAGGTTTTTACCCTTTTATCTGGCACAAAAACTGACACCTTTATACAAGGAATCTTGTTTGCAAAAACCACAAACACAAGTAGTCAAAATGCAAACAAAAAAGACAACTCTGATAATAATATGCACTGTCCTTGAATTTGATTGGTCCACACCCGAGATGGCTTTTCTTAGAGCCCAGTCTCCACTGGTGTTGGACCAGAAGACGCCAAAAGGTCCAACACCAGTGGAGACTAGGCTCTAAGAAAAGCCGTCTCGGGTGTGGACCAATCAAATTCAAGGACAGTGCATATTATCAGAGTTGTCTTTTTTGTTTGCATTTTGACTACTTGTGTTGTGGTTTTTGCAAACATGATGCCTTGTATAAAGGTGTCAGTTTTTGTGCCAGATAAAAGGGTAAAAACCTATTACTAATACAAATTTACCAGGTAAGACCCCAGAGCTATATAGCTCTTTTTCAGAAGCGACCTGGCCACAAACAATAAAGCGGCTTATCACGTGCACATTTACAGCAACCAAATACGCTCAAAACTAAACGTTTCTAAAACGGAGGACCCGGAGAAAAAATCCACGTGACTACGTGGATTATGTTCCCCTTGGAGTTCTCGGATCCCGGTCACACCCCCCGAGGCCACGCCCCCGAGGCCACCACACCCCGAGGCCACGCCCCCCGCAATGTCAAGGTCAAGGACGACCCCTGGGAAAATGTCCTCGAGCCGACCTCGAGGCCGAGAACTGTCCTCGAGGAGGACTCGAGGACTTGGAAAAGAACACGCATGCCAACTGTGCGTGCAAACAGCACAACAATGATGGGTGCAAATATAATCAACTCACTGCATATAAGAAGCCAAGAACGGCCAATCCATCCTTTTCATTCTTTGCTCCATCAAAGGTCAAGTACTTGGTGTTATAGTGCACAATATGAAGCTACAAAAAAGGAGAAAAGAGAAATGAAATACTGTTATAGCCTCAAAATAACCAAGATATACAGACATGAAAAGCAACGTCAAGAAACTGCCCAACTATTCCTTTTCTTAAAAAAATACAAGTTAGTGTGTACGCCAGACGTCATGGTTTAATGTATTCCCCTCAGAAAAACAATAGAAGCAATGCTATTGTTTTGCAAACCACTATGCAGGCAATCAAACAATTCATGGGGCAATACTTGGTGAGGCTCGTCAATTTGTGGAAGGAAGTTGTTTGCATGTTTTCCCCTCACAATAATGAATCAATACAAGCAAGCACGACCTATATTTAAAACACATTTTATGGAAACAATGAGGTGAGGATTGCACCAACTTTTTGTACGCAAACAGTAGGGGGGTGTAAAGCTTCACCCATGCTGAGATTTAATTGATTTGTCGCGACTCAGGATCGCGACATCATTACGGATTGTTTTTAATTTATATGCAATGTGGTGGAGACCGTGGTAACCTCTGGAGCTGGCTGATGATGGCGGAGGTAATTTTCAACGGTGTCAAGGGCGCCTTGACGTTCAAATGACCCCAACTTCGTCCACCCACTCAGCCGATGCCCGGACCGATATATCTCACGGTTAGCTTAGGTTATCGCGACATCGTAAATGCCGATGGGCTGAGTGGCTTGATGCTACACATCCACAGACACCTTGTTATGGAATGGGTTAGAGGTGTACTTAACATTAAAAAAAAATGTTTTGCCCATTTCAGGTGTCAGACAACTCGACGAGGCATTTCGTTTACTTAAAAACGGCAAAGGATCCGACCCTGCGCCTTGCCTCGCTCTTGCCTACTGGGTCCTCTGCCTCCAACCTGGCTGAAGGTCCATCGGGTTCGGAGGGGGGGGGGGTAGGGGCTGTGTTTTATAGATATATTTGACACAACCTACGACGCAAAACATACGCCGGTATCCAGATCAAATGGTCACTTTTGTCGCTCAGCAGGTGCAGCAGCCACTGCTGTCGGCACGGGTGCACTGATCCAAATACAATTCTAGATTTGAAGCTTTCGTGACTGCAAGGATCCATACTCTTTGGCTCTATTCGGTAAAGTCACTTTACCGAATAGAACCAAAGAGTATGATCCCAATACGTAAAACACGTAGGAATATATATTAAAAAAAACATTAGTTTTACACGAGCGAATCGAATGCGCTGGTCACACGTTTAGGAATGCTGGACATAAAATTGATGAATCGATGCATCATTATACCTCCCTAATATACAGCACCACTCATCCTTAATCGGCATCTCTCACCCCACAACATGAATGCATTGGCGATGCACGCACGCGCGCACATCTATAAAGCCAGCCACAGATTCCCATACAACCCTTGCGATTGTAATTGGTGTAAAACTGGTAATTGCATGCTGTGCGGAAGCCGCTCACTTCAACGGGGAATTGCTTGCCATTGATGGTGTGCTCGGATCCAGGCCCGTGTGGGTTCCCCCAGTGAAAGTGCATCTGGACAGCGTTGAAGGTACCTGGCAGTCCACCGCCACTCACGGCGATTTCCCCTTGCAAGTCAACCTGCACTGTGGGCACAGACGCGTCACAGGGTGGCATCATTATTTATTTATTTTAATTTGCACACGAACACAAACCCGTTTATTTTTTGCGTTTTTTTTACTCTCTCGAATAGCGAGCGTGGAGACGCGTATGCTTGGGATTGCACCGGAGAGCAAAAAACGAGGAACACGTGGATAAGAGACATCACGCTGGCTAAAAGGTCAGTAGGCTCGGGAAGGACGTGACGCTGATGAAGGCTAATTATGAAGTTGGGCAGCCAAAGAAGGGGAGTGTCTTCGAGAGGACATCCACTGCCGAGATGGAGCAAAGAAAACGTCTCAGCAGGTGCTTGCTTGATGGGTTTGTTCCATCGCGAGACCGTGAGAGGTGGCGACGGCTTGTGGGAGGGCCTTCATCCAGCAGTGGACAAATCATAGCTGTTGATGAGGATGATGAAGGCCGCTTGTGTTGTGGCCGAAACGTCGTGAGAATATTATTGCGTCATTTTATTTTATCAATTTATTATTTTATTCTCAATCTACGTGACTTTACCGAAAGAACCAAAGAAGATTTATGTATGATTATTATTTTCTTTTTACAAGTTTTGAAAAACAAAACATTCGCGAAACGGTTGAGACTTTCAATGACAAAAAACAAAACTCCTTACCGGTGTGTCCATTGTTTTGTATGGACCATGTGACGCCAGCAGGTGTCGAGTCGTAGCCAATGAATTTGAGCTTCTGCAGCGTCGCGTTGCGTTTCACACTACCCGTATGGATGTCGATGGGAGACTGGCTTGTACCACTGCACGTGGGGCTGTTTTTATACCACGTGCGTGGACCTTCACAAAAGGCAGATGGCAAAGCATTAAAAATATATATATAACAACGTTGTCCACTGGATATACCGCCTATGTGCTTCCGTTGTTCAAATAAAATCCAGCTATGCCGCCTCTACAGTCGGATGTGTGGAGCACGAATAACAAAAAAACGGGTTGTTTAATTAATTCACGTTGATTACCACCAGTGTTCGAATGGACACCAGCCCAGCGCTGAACGTTACAACAAAATGGAGTTATGTAGAAAAAATAAGTTTGAACATGTGCTTTCCGTGTTAAACGGTCAGATTTTAATAATGGCAAATGTCTGTGTACTATGAACAAAAAATACTTTGACGAGTGTCAAATTAGTAAATTATGAAACGTTTACGAAGTTGTAAATGTTCTTCGCTAAAATAATAAAATTAGAATATACATTAACTGTGATATAAATACAATGTTTATTGTTCCTGATTTTAAACTAAATGAAAATTTGCATATCCGTGTTACCAGTGCATAAAAACAAATGCAGCAAACACCCAGTAAATTGAGCATTACATGCAAATGGACACAGGCACACCATAACAAACGTGGTTTGTAACCTGCTTTTCTTTGCAATTAAATAATCATAGACGCCTGACAAATTTCTGTATGAAACACTCGAATGAAAATCTCATTTACTTCACGTGAAATTGTCTTTCAATGAAAACCACTTGCTGCTCAGAGCTCCAAAAGGCAATGTTCGATGTAATATACATTTGCTTACATTAATATGTTTTATTGCTTAAGAGTTAATCACAAAACAGTTTTTTTTTTTACGCACAGAAGATGTGACATTGGTAGGCAAAACATTTCATTTAGACAGAAAGCATGGTGTGACTTACCACATTCCGAATCCTGAGAGTCATAACACCAATGTGCTGTGGAATAATAAAAACAAACAAACAAAATACATGATTAATGCTCACCAGCATCGGACGCGAATATTGCTCAATGGACATTATTTTTGAGTTTGGTAATTTTAACTACAGTCAAAGTCATTTACATATATAACCAGCGAAGTTAAGTTGGCCGCTTTAAGCTCTCGTTATTTTATCTCTCCAAGGCTGAAGTCAGCAAAAGCGGTGCACTATGCAGCACACACACACACAACACTCGTAAGCATAAGTGGGGCTTTGCCCAAATTCTCACAGCTTAAGTGTCACAATCCACGAGAAGCAAATTGCTTGGTTCGTTTAATGATGGTGATCACATATTTCTGTGTTAGGCTCGAGGGCTTTGATGAATTTTGAAGCCGAGGTTGACCACACACTATGCATGAAGCCACTCAGCTTTCGAGGCATACATTTTATGGGCCCAAATTATTTAAAATTTTCAGACATTTTTTCTTCTTCCAGTTTTAAACATAGACTCAATCATATTTTTTTTTGCCCAAGATCAGCTTTCTATCCCTTTGAGGACGTATTTAGATTGTACACGAGTCACTCAAACATTACTATGCGTCTGTGTCATATGAAAGAAAACGATGATGTCGAGCTCGTGGGCCTTGTCAATCTAGTGCCAAAAAGCAATATTTTCATTTGGCAAAATTGTCAGAAAATGCCGCCAACATCATTAGTGCAGGTGAAGCATTAAAGCTGCATAACCACAAGACAAATACACCAAAATTAATAAATGAGCTACATAACCACAAGCCAGTATAAATTACTTTCCAGCATGCTGTTCTCAAGGAACCCAGGCAAGTGTGTGTGTGTGTGTTAAATCCTACTGGGTAGCAAACAGCTCATTAATTATGGATTACATATGTACCTTATATATGCATTTACTCTCACTCAAAATACACAATCATTCTTCACCGAAAGTAACCGACATGACCGGTGGATACGACGTGAAGAACGTATAAGCCACGTGACACTAATGGCAGAGCCAGGATTTTCAGGTAGTGGGTGGCAACCCTTCCAGCAATAAAAAATGATAGGAGTTGTTAGTTGGGCGGGGGTCGCAAAATGCCGATTTATTACTAATAAACCCCAATGATGGGATTTCGATCGGATCATTGGGGGGGCACGTGCCACCCCACATCCCCCACCCCCCCCCACTGGCTCTGTCAGTGGTGACACGGTCGTGAGGGCCCAATCACGTGAAAGCGCCATCAGACCCCCCACTTAATTTCGGTCAATTACAGGAGTTCGCTGCAGTCTCCGATAGCTACCCTATCCGGGAAGATAGTTCCTGGATACATTAATTCAACGTTAACTAATGTGTCAAGTGAGGTTAAATTATTGTCCGTCCTGTGTTTTGCTGCGGAGAAACCAGCAGAGAGCAAAGGGAGCAATGATTTCCGAGGGTCGCCAACGAGAAATCGAATGCGTGCGGAGAAATGCCAGGTTTTTTTGCAGCGCATCCGGGAAAGATAAAAAAAATTAAAGTTTTTGGCAAGCTACGAACAAAGCCACGCTTGATTTGGAAAGCTCGACTCGTCGCCCACGGTTGTGCGAGACCGTCGAGATCGAGCCAAGTAAATTGGAAATTAGTTCGGATGGATATTTGCGGTGTCTTTGACTTTAAGGAGACAACATACTTTTTATGGTTTAAAAAAAAAATTGCCAATTCATATGACGAGGGGATGATTTCATTGTAACGTCTTGGTACGTGATAATAAAACGATGGCAGAATGAATTCCACCACAGTAAAATTCCGTAAAAATGAAGGAGCATGTCCAATGCAAGTTGTCTGAATGTACATTGAACAACCCCATGTCTGCAGTATTGTGCTCTGAATTGTATTTAAACCATGCAATTAACTTTCAGAGGTGTTTGGTGTTAATAGGCTTTCTGACCTCTTTGAAAGCGAGTTGAGCATTTAACGTTGATGCAAAGCAATATCTTAAATGAAGCTTATGTTTAAATAGCTGGGACCACGTGACATCGTGCCAATGCGACACTAAATTGCGTTCAACATTAAAACACATCCGATGTTACACGGTTCTTTTCACTGCCCGGTCTACTTACATGGCGCTTTTAATGTTCCAAATCAAAGCAATTCACACGCGGCTTTCACAACGAACATGTTTAAATCATAACGAGGAATAGCACACGCCTACCGTAAGTTCTCAGTGTAAATTTAACTACTGCATGAAAAAACAGTACCCACGAGTTTGCCTTTTCATCCAAGAAAATGCTATGGTGAGTAATTATCTTAAATAAATAGATCTGACGTTAACCGTAAAGCGAACATTGCCAACAGTGATGACACACTTATAGCCATCACTCATTCACATTGATTTGAAATACGGTGCTGTAAAATACAAGCACATATTTATTAAAGTACAAATATTTCCCGTTGGTGTTCCCTCTTTGCGAGACATTCACGTCACATTAATAACCCGAACGAACATCCCTTGCGGTGTTACAGCAGTGCAGTAATATGCAACGCGTTTCCACATGAACACACACACGCACAGACTTACCATCTCCGGACGCACTGGTACGATTTACCCTGGAAATCACAAAGATGACCAGCACGCAAACGGTAAGCACGGGGAAATACATCTCAGTCCGCTATTGGAGCTCTCTGCCGTTGACGCACTGCTGGTAAGATTGACAAACAAAACAGCCGCGCGGCAAGCCGACTAATACAATGAATAAAAGCCGGTAACAAGAGTGGCTAAAGTAGTATAAATAGTGCACAACAGGTGCCGTCGTCTGCTCGCAGGGTGAGCGAGGCTACACTGGCGCAAGCCGCCGTGCTGTACAAAGTATCTGCCCGTGCGTCTAATGCTGTAGTGGCAGACAGAACTGGACAGAGCGGGGTGGGTGAGTGGGTGGATGTGGGAGGTATGGCTGAGACGGAATGAATGCGCAGGCTCTCAGCGCACGCAGCCGTATTTATCCTCCAGGCTCAGCGCTCCTGGATAATGGGTGACGAGCTCCGACGCTTTTGACGATGATGATGCTGCTGGTGATGATGATGACGGTAGCAAGGACAGAGAGATCGCTCAAGTCGCGCACGCCCCGTTGTTGAGGGCGCAGCGTGTGGTTCAAGTGCGCGCAGCAACGCACAATGCAGTCTCGTCCACGTGCTGTTTGGAGTAAGGTAATCTTACCGGTTTGTTTGCTTCTATATAATCTCCTTAATGATTTTTTGACCTGTGACGGCACCGATTTCCTGAGCAATTGTGGGAAACAAAAAATACCGTGCCCTATTTGGAATCAATGTGGTATCCCACACCTGATAGGTACGCACACGCCTTTTCGGGTTCAAACAACAACGAGTTATCAAGGAAGAAAAAACATGCGTATTGGATGGATACTGTAACTTTTTAAAACCAAGGTTTTGCAACGGAATTTTTTTAATGTATATACCTGATCTGACATGGATTGGAAAGCAATCTCTGTATCGGTTTAGATATTTTGGGACTCATCAGCAGTCAGGCGTGATGAACTAATGCTGTACTTCACACACGATCGGAACGTGTCAACTGCGTTGGCAAAAGAAGTGTCATATACAGGGGGCATTTTTTGTTCAAAAGCGAGTTCTATATACAGTATACAGTAAAGGGCGAGTCAGGTGAATACCAAGAAGTAATATTGAGTACATCAGCGTGGTGGTTTAAAGCAGTGGAATGAGGAAGGGTGCCACGTGTACTCTGTTTACGCGACAACGCAAATGCAGAATGCGGCATGGAGAAATGGGTACGCACGCCTTTACATTAGCAGGTAAAATCAATATGCGACGAGGTTATCAGAATGAACGGTGGCAGGGACAGGGTCTTTTTTTTAATGAATAACATTTTAGGGTTGCGTTTCGCGAAGTGAGCTACGCGAAAAGCTGTCGCTGCCGTTCCTCAGCACGTGGGGCGCGCAACTATGAGGCGGGCAAGGAAGCATTTCGGGGGTGAGGCTGCGGCATGGACACCGTGCAGGGAAGAAAAAAAAACATTCGAATGTCTGCGGGGAATGTCATCGCCCACTTTTGCGATGACAAAACACGCGAACACGCAACACATGTTTTCAATTGTCCGCTAACGAGAAGCGTAGCCATGCGATGTCTCTGTGTAGCTGTCGGTCTGAGTAACCTCAGTTGTGTTATCGGGGCTGTCGGGGAGAGAGGGATGCGGGGAGTGGCGGTCAATTAGTCATGATTATGAGAGAGGGATGCTGAACGATGTTGAAAACCACTCTCCTAATAGCAAGAGTCCAAATTCCAAAATGTTTTCTACAGCTCTTCCCCAATCCACTGCTGGATGACGGTCTCCCCACGCAGTCTGTACTCACCACGCTAGGCGGTGCGCTGTTGACGGCGTGGGAGTCGGGGTGGACGCGGAGCCGGTTCATGTAACACCAACAACACCAACAACAACAACAAACTCCTCGCCGGCACTGACGTTAGCCGTGTGGCCGGGAATCGCATTCGTAGGCCAGGTACATCGAGCGCAGTGCGCTCACCCATTGCGCGCCACCGCTCAGCAACATCGATGCGGTCGGTACACGATCATAGTATGCAGGGAATGAAAATAAAATACAACTAAAGAGGGAGACTGGCGTTGATAGCTTCCAGTCAGATGTGAAGTACGGTCTGGCAGCTGCCGGTCCCGAGCCGCCCAACACTCAGCAGCCGCGCAAGCAGGGAACGCGGAGCTCGCAATGAATAGATTTGTTGTTAAAGACGAAGACGTGAAGACAGCGACACGTAGGGCCCACATATCAGAAGCCACTGCGAGCAGTTACTTGCCGTGGAACAGCTGTTGCTAGATCTGACGACGAGCTGTTTCTCACACACACACACTCACAACACCACCAACAACAACAACATTGGACCCCGGCATCACGAGTCATTCATCATCGTCCTCAGCAGCCGTGCTCAGTCCACTGCTGATCAGTCATTTCTATCTCTCACGACCCTGCGACGTAGTTAGCTATGAGGTCTCTGCACACGACGACGATTCTTGATTAAACTAGCAATTAACAATGTCACTACATTATTACGAGGTTGGAGTGTGAACCTATAGGCGATCTTCGGTACATTTCTGACCGTGACTGACATAACCAAACGCAGAACATGACCCAACATACTCTTTGGTTCTATTCGGTAAAGCCACGTAGGTAAAAAAAATAAAACAACAAAAATCGCGACGTTTCGGCCACAACACAAGCGGCCTTCATCAGGTGAAGGGACCAGCCTGTCTCGAAGACTGCGCTGGAGTGAAACAGAGCCAAGCTCAGACTGCGACCTTTAAGTGGTGTACACAGCTGTGTACATACTCTTTGGTTCTATTCGGTAAAGCCACGTACTCACGCAGTCTGAGCTTGGCTCTGTTTCACTCCAGCGCAGTCTTCGAGACAGGCTGGTCCCTTCACCTGATGAAGGCCGCTTGTGTTGTGGCCTAAACGTCGTGATTTTTGTTTTATTTTTTTACATACGTGGCTTTACCAAATAGAACCAAAGAGTATGGATCCTTGCAGTCACGAAAGCTTCAAATCTAGAAATGATCCAACATGGCTTTAGCTCAAGCTTCACCCAGAACCGCATCCGCACAAACCGTGTCAGATGCACAAATGGAAAATGTGACGCACAAACCGTGTCAGATGCACAAATGGAAAATGTGATGCACAAACCGTGTCAGATGCACAAATGGAAAATGTGATGCACAAACCGTGTCAGATGCACAAATGGAAAATGTGATGCACAAACCGTGTCAGATGCACAAATGGAAAATGTGATGCACAAACCGTGTCAGATGCACAAATGGAAAATGTGATGCACAAACCGTGTCAGATGCACAAATGGAAAATGTGATGCACAAACCGTGCCAGATGCACAAATGGAAAATGTGATGCACAAACCGTGTCAGATGCACAAATGGAAAATGTGATGCACAAACCGTGTCAGATGCACAAATGGAAAATGTGATGCACAAACCGTGTCAGATGCACAAATGGAAAATGTGACGCACAAACCGTGCCAGATGCACAAATGGCAAATGTGATGCACAAATGGAAAATGTGAAACTATCCAGTGTGCGACTGTGGTCATCCTGACCAGACCGCGCAACGCAAAACGACGCAATGTCCCCGGATCTACAGATACAAAGGATACGTCACGGCGAGACCACTCCGCTGCTCGTGAACGTGAAATTGGAGTTGGTGCTCTGCACCTGCATCAAGCCGTACGAAGGAAGAGGATGATACACACGTGGGGTGTGGATGTTTAAACTGGTCCAAGCACCCCCGCCTCCCACATCAACACGCACCGACCAGGGTGGTGAAGTATGGTCAAATCAACCCACAATGCCAACACGACGTGAAGCGGTCTACATTCAAAAGAGGATTGGCAAACGACTGAAAGCTATATTTAAAAAAAAGTATTCGAAAGCCACTAACGTTTCGGAAATGGTTCTAATGTAGGTCCACTGCCCGGAACATTAGCCTATTGTATGTACAGCATTCGTTATATGCGAACGTATTCTTTGAATTCCAAGTAGCAATTTTCCCCATGTAAATGTTACAATCCGGTAGGTGTGCGTGTGTATTGAGACGACAATGTTTTAGCGGTGCGTCTTTCTTTTTCAGATCGTCCTGAGAAGACGGTAACGACGAATGTGTTAGGTTTTCCAACACGACGATTAAAGGGAAACGCGATCATCTGCGGAAGAATAATAACAATCCGCGCATTGTACCCTTAAATGGCATTAACTTTGTGAGTAATCCTTGAATTGTGGCAAGGCGCAACTGACATCTAGCATGCAATGGGTTTTTTTTAAACCTCGTGCATTTCCTGTCCGTATTAAACGCCACTCCGAATGTTACCACTTGTACAAAGCGCGGTTTTACAACAAACTAAAAAAATGGCAAAGGCGTTCATGAAAGTCGGCGCTGTGGCGAACGAGAGAAAGTGATAAACGTGGGCTCATTTTTCGTATTATTTATATCGACCTTATCACCGCGATACAGGGTAAACACAGCGGAGAAGCCTGAATAGCAAAGCTCCACAGCAATGGCACAATAGGTTTCAATTATTAACGCAGATTTATGAAGGTCACTCGCGGCGTTGGCTTTCAAGTTAAGGTGGATCATTTATATTCCCGTGGTTCCGTATGGGGAACGCTGGTAATTAAGGGACTCGACTTCACATAAGAGAAGGGAGAATAATAGTACAAGCACCCTTGTTACAGGGTATTGGATGTCGGGGCACATGAACTCGTAAAGGTCAGTTGGCAGGTACATTGCAGCTTCGCCTGCAATTCAGCCCTGTCCAAGTTCGGTAGCAAACTCGGGAGAAAATAAAACGGTTAGCACAAGGTAACCGGACTTTGCAGGCCAAGGCAGGCTCCAATGCGACCTCCCGTCGCAGCATTTGACACGTGGTGGTGGTGCAAGTTCCTTAATGTGTGAGTTACCTTCCACCTCTACCAAGACGTCTCCGCCAGTCGGCAAATTTTTTTTTATCTCCGCTTATAGAGGTGGCTCCGGAGCGCTCCCTCGAATGTAGCGGGCATCGCCCTCTTCCGCCAGCAGTGGCGTCAATGAGCAATTGCAGGGATGCACTTTTATAGGAGTGGGAACGTCTGTATGTATGTAACAGACTATCGCTGGAACATTTATCCGAAGATCTGAGAGCCTGCACGGCTGAAATAACACGACATGTGGTGTGTGTGTATGTGTGTGTGACGTAATAGCGGTTAAGCAGCGAAAATGTGGATGAATATGTGCGGCGTGTCCGTTTCACGTGCTCTCCTGGCTGTCTGGTGGATAACGGCGTTGACGAATAATCGCACCAACTGTTGTCACCTTCTCACCAAGCTGCTTGGCAATGGTCTTGTAGCCCATTTCAGCCTTGTGTAGGTCTACAATCTTGTCCCTGATATCCTTGGAGAGCTCTTTGGTCTTGGCCATGGTGGAGAGTTTGGAATCTGATTGATTGATTGCTTCTGTGGACAGGTGCCTTTTATACAGGTAACGAGCTGAGATTAGGAGCACACTCTTAAAGAGAGTGCTCCTAATCTCAGCTTGTTACCTGTATAAAAGACACCTGGGAGCCAGACATCTTTCTGATTGAGAGGGGGTCAAATACTTATTTCCCTCATTAAAATGCAAATCAATTTATAACATTTTTGACATGGGTTTTTGTGGATTTTTTTGTTGCCATTCTGTCTCTCACTGTTCAAATAAACCTACCATTAAAAATATAGACTGATCATTTCTTTGTCAGTGGGCAAACGTACAAAATCAGCAGGGGATCAAATCCTTTTTTTCCCTCACTGTACGAATAGTTACAGCGTAATTGCGCATCGCACAAATGTGCGTCGAACTTCTTTCGCGCCGTACGTAGCCAACCGTGCTAATATCCGAGGGGGAAAAAAATAGCAGTTCTAAATAAATTAGTAGCGTAATCAGTGACGGATTAAGTTAGTGCTTGGCCTGTCGCATATGTTAAAAAGGGGCCCTAAAAAAAAAACAGAAATATTAAAACACAAATATTTAACTTGCATAGTAAAGTAATTGTATTTTTTCATTTGCTATACAGCCAAATAATACGACAAATCGCTCACCTTAAACACCCAGTCGTTCATAAAAGTTGAAGGCAGTATAGTACTATAGTAATAGAGCAAGTGCAGAATCACTGAACCGGGATTGGTATCTTGAAAGCGTTTAGCGCGGGGGCCCTTGAAAGTGCAGCGTCCATAGCATTTGCTACCTTTGCTACTAAGCTAACCCGGCGCTGAGCGTTATAGCTTCCTTGATGGCGAGGTGATATGGGGTGGAGGGGGGGGGGGGCAGTCGTGGGACGGAGGGGGGGGTGTGGCACTCGTTAAGGGCGGTGGCGACACTCAGCGGTCTTTCAGGCTGGTATCTTGATGAGCGTAACAATCGGTTCGTTAATTGTTTCTCTTGGAGTAAACGCCACGTATCGTGTCTGCACAGCCGGGGGGATTTGGGCGACGCACTGTCTGGGAAAAGCGCCGAGAGGAAAAGGGGCGCTCTCGACCGTTTTAAATGACATGTTTTAACTTTATTGTTGCCTTTTTTTTCGTACTTCCATCCTCATTGCGGACGTGCGTATGCTACTTTCGTTTGAAACTCGTCGAAGCGAGTTGTGCACCACCTAGAGGCAGAGAACGTTCATGGCAAGGTTTGGCCGTAAGCCATTGTGCAGCCTGTTCTCGTATAACGCGCTAGTTGCGTTCCTGAAGAGCACCGCGTTATGGAGAAATCGCGTTTTGACAAATATTATATAACATAGGGTAAAGCGCAGTCCGCGTTAACACGTGAGATGCGCACGCAGGCTGACAAAGACTGAGGCGCGTGGTTAGCATCTAGAAGCATCCAGCAG